GCCTGTCTACCTATCTATCTATCCATCTATCAGTCTATCTATATATCTACATATCAGTTTGTCTCTCTATTTATCTATTTGTCTATCTGTCTATTCATCTATGCTTCTATCTTGTCTATCTGTCTATATATCAGTCTATCTATCTATCTACCTACTTACTTGCCTATCTAGCTATCTACTTATCTGTTTATCTATCTATCTATCTATCAGTCTCAAAGAAGCGGCAGATTTCGAGTCCTAAGAAAGGGTGGTTGATCTGCAGTCGGAACAGCCAATCTCGACATCTCTTTACACTTGAAAAGCACGCTGGGGGGGAGGGAGGTAATGTGTCACCGGAACAGCCAATACCAACACGCCTTTACCCACAGGGAAAAGAGAGGTTCAGTGTGTCTTTGGACCGGCTAGGATAGACACCTCCTTTACAGCTCTCCTTTTGTGACACTCCCGGCTGGTGAAGCGATCCATGCTCGTTTTACGATTGTCGTAAAGCCATCCTAGAGGCTTTAAGTGCCTTAGCATTGTCGTAAATCTGTGCTTGCCTGCTTGGATGGTTGCTTGTGATCGTGGGAGCGGGGTGGGAGGGGCTGGGGCGTGGGGAGGGTTAGTTAAGGAGGGAAAGGGGCGGGGCTTAAATTCATGCGAGAGAGGGGAGGGGGTGAGAAAGGAGTAAATGCAGATAGACGATAAATAAGATAGATAAAATAGTCTATAGAATGGGGTATGGGTAGGTAGACAGATAGGCAGGCAGAAAGACAGATAGATAAGTAGGCAGATAGATAGATAGATAGTCTTTCTAATCCTAATAAACAGGATGAATGGTAAAAAAAAAGGAAAAAATAGAAAAAAAATGAAGCAGTTTTTTTTTTTTGCCTTTTTCTTGTTTTTTTCTGTTTTTGTTGTTTGTTGTTTTTTGTTGTTGCTTCGAGTCGAACAAAAATTCTAATCTTAATGGACGAGATGAATGGATCAAGATTCCTTCTAAGACGGCTTTATCTTTTTACTTCCTCTTTCTTTTTCTTTCTTTCTTGTTGTTCTTCTCTCTTTATTTTCTTCTGTATCTTTATTCATACTCTCTATTCTTTCTTCTTTCTTTCTGTTTTTTTATTCCTCCCTTTCTTTCTTCTGTGTTTCTTTGATTTTTTTGTTGTTCTTTCTTCTTGTTATTATCATTTTTTCATTTCCTTTCTTCCTTATGTTTTTTTTCCTTTTTTTACTTCTGCTTTTTTCATGTTTTTATAGTCGCTATTTTTTCTTCTTTTTATTTATTTATTTATTTTTCAACAAATTCTTTATATTTTTAATGCAAACGTATCCATATATATATAAAGCAAAGAAGAAGGAGAGGATGATGAAGATAAGAAGGAGGAGGAGGAGGAATAGGAGGAAAAGGGAGGAGGGGGAAGGCGAGGAGATTAGGGAGAAAAAGAGGATGAAGAGGAATAGAAGAAGGAGGAGGAGGAAGAGGAGGAATGGGAGGAAGAGGAGGAAAGGAAGGAGGAGGAGGAGGAGGAGGAGAAGAGGAGGAAGAAGATGATAATGATAATATATATGATAATAATAATAATAATAATAATATAATAATAATAATAATAATAATAATAATAATATAATAATAATAATAATAATATAATATAATGATAATAATAATGATAATGATAATGATAATGATAACGATAATAATAATAATAAAAACAGGAAAACTTTTAAACTCTGGAAAGAATTTTCGATCATATATCCTAAGAATGCAGTTTATTAGGTGTTGTTCTTAAGGTGATTCCAAACTTTTTTTTTTTTCTCTTTTTCTCATATTTTCTTTCTTTCTTTTATGTTGTCATTTTTAAGATTATTCAAAACTTTTTTTTATTATTTCTCATTTTTTCTATTTTCTTTCTTTCTTTTTTTATGTTGTCATTCTTAAGATTATTCAAACTTTTTATTTTTCTCTTTTTTTTTTTTTATTTGTTATGTTGCCATTTTAAGATTATTCAAAACTTTTGTTATTATTTTTTTTTTATTTCTTTAAATCCTCTATTTTTGTTTTATCCTTAATGGGGGGGGGGGGTAACAGGCCTACGCTATGTTTCTTAGGAAAAAAATCTATTTCTTCCTTTCTTTTTTTTTTCTTTAACGCTATGTTCTTAGGAAAAGAATGGAGATAGTGATAGCAGACCATAAGGACTGAAAGTATATATATTTCTTTGGTGATTTAACTTCTTTTGTTTTATTTTTTACCTCAATGATCACTTGTTTATCCTTATAGATTTTTTCCGTTGTATATATATATATAATATATATAATATATATATATATATATATATATATATATATATATATATATATATTATATATATTATATATTTATTATTATTTTTTTCGTATTCTTGATTATTAGGAGTCACTCACTCCACCTCTCTTTCTCTTCTCTCTCTCTCTCTCTCTCTTCTCTGTCTTTCCTCTCTCTCTCTCCCCTCTCTCTCCCTCTCCTCTCTCCTCTCTCTCT